TGGCTCTTGCAAGATTTCAACAGACTCCAGAATTCTCAAAAAGTTACATCAAACAGTTTCTGCTAATGCAATTGTTGCCTAAGTAGGGAGACAGATTCCTGGTGCTTCCCACTCCAACCATTTCTCAGAACCCTCACACATTATTTTCAATTTTTAATAAGTTGCTGGGCTTGAGATAGCATTTTATAATTTATATTTCATCAAATGTTAACTCAAAACAAAGAATCCTGCTAACCTCTTTAAACCTTTAATCAGCCACATCTACACATAGGCATCCCTGTCTTTTAATCTGGACATAGGTTAAATGATGTTTGCCAGGTCAGACAGGAAATGCAGCTGGGGGCAGATGGAAGATGTAGATGATGCCTGTAAAGATAAGAATGTCTTCTGAATCCAAAATCCAGACACAGAGCCTAACAAAAGATTTAAGAATGATTACATGAAAAAAAAAAAAAAGTAAATATATAGAAGTTAAACCACACTGTATTATAAATTTAATGTACTGCCTTTACTTAAAAAATAAAAAGTTGAGGGAACCAGCAGTTAGCGTAATGGCTATGTTGCTGGACTCCCACGTAGTCGACCGCGGTTCGCGTCCCGGAGCCGGTGGCTTAGAACTCACACCGGGCGTATGTGCGTGTGTGCCCAAGATCCCAAGAGGAGAATGGAAGAGAAGGGATTGCGGCGTGACCATCCCCCCTGGGGGGTGATTTCTCGCTTTCTGTCTCTATGTCTCTCTCTGTCTGGCTGGCAAGCTCACATGCCCTATAGCGAAAACCTCTCAAAAAATAAAAATAACAATAAAAGCACTTAGTGTAATGGCTACGTCACTAGAATCCCATGCAGTTCATCAGAACTGTCCCCCAAATTAGGCCAGATAGTCCCACATACATACTGAAAGAACTGGGAGGGGCTGGCATTGACTGTTGAATGAGTTATTCCCAACTTCCATTCTTTGCATGTTTTAATCATGACATGTCAATAAATGTTCTACAATGAGATCAGTACATTTTTCTTTAAACTTAATGTAAATATCAAAAGTGGTCACCTATCAATGTCACATAAGGATACACTTTACATAAAACATAATTGCTTTATTTGTAGCTGCCAAGTGGTACATGTGCAAGTGCAGCACCTTAACCACCACACCCCCTGCCAGCCCTCTCATAATCAATTTTAAAATAATCACGTGATAAAAATAAATCACAATAATTTAAAAACGAAACATTAAAAAAATAAGTACACTGTAAAAAATACAAAAAAAAAGTATTTATCTTATTTACCAACTGGCTAACTATAAAGATACAATTTTTGCCTTAGAGTTTAAGGCTGCTTTTTGTTTTTTTTTTTTATTTGACCCGAGAGAGAGATAGGGGTGGGTGAGAAAGCAAAATGCCAGGTCCAGGACTCAAACCATGGCCAATCATGTGCAAGTCCAGCCCCTTAA